AATAAATTGTGGTTTTGCTTCCTCCTCTCAGCTTGCCAAACATAAACAAGGCACTGACTCTTTTTCTTCTACACAGGAGCAAACATATATATACTTAGTAAGTATATAAAGATTTTTTCCCTATAAAGATAAAATAACGAAACAAAATTATACTATACATCTAGTATTATAACTACATGACAACTATGTTCTTATTTTTTAATATGGGGGAGATACTCTTCCAAAAAAACCAAAGGAACAAAATACCCCACAGCTAACAGTTACTTCATTCTTCTTGTATGTCAGATATGGTTTCCCTTTCTTAGTCTCATGAAGACCTCATAATGAGTTATACTTTATTAATATTACCAACCAAACCTGGCAGAACTACCTCACCCTTTTTAAAAGCTATGGTATGCTAATACAGGATCTAATCATTCCATTTAAGCATTTTGGGAATGACATATTATCAATTATCCTAAATATCTACAGCTAAAGTTAAGCTGGGATTTATTTAGTCAGGGAAGACCAAAGCCAAAGAGATAATTTTAAATCTTACCTACTTTTTAAAAAAAAAAATTAACTTTTTTTTTCATTTGTTCTTTTTAGATATACATGACAGTAGAGTGTATTTTGACATATTATTATGCATACCTGCTCCACAGAAAAGAATGATGTAAAGAGTCTCTCTTAGGTTTGATCAAGAAAGATTCTTAGTTACTTGGTTGTGTAAAGTTTAATCAAAGGGGGTGAACAGAATACATATGGAGCATTTTGAAATAGGACTTGAAGGTTTTACATTGTTATGTCAGCAGTTTTCCCACGTAATTGTTTATGGGGCTGGTTTTTCCCATCATTCTTTAGATCTCTACACTGTAAAGAAATGATTGGTATATTAGGTTAGTGGCTTCTTTCTTGAAGAAAGTCATTAAACTTAAGTGCAGATGGGCTTATCAGTGATAGAGCTATAAGCTTGGAATTCTTTTTATCCTCTGAGCTAAGGTGCAGACAACTAAACAAGACTTCAGTGACAGCCACCAACATGTCAGGTCAGTGAAACCTAGAGCTAGTCTATATGCACGGTCTTGAAAGATAGCTACTTCACATTGAAACCTGAGTTCTGGGAAGGCAGGCTTTATTCACTATCTTTACTCAAAGTTCAATGAAATGTGTGACAGCCCTGGCAGACCTCCAAGGGTGTACAGTTGTCCCATCTGTCTGTAATACTTGAAAGAACCAGTGACCACTAACTATGGGTACAACTTCTATTTTTACTGCCTCAGTATATCCTAGGAAGTATATGGAAATGATGCCTTTCCCTGGCCTGTCTGCTAATTTTGCTTTCCACAAAGAAAGTTTGGGAGGAATCCCCTGCTCTATCATTGGACTTGCTAAGCTACTCCAGATCAAAAAGAGCAAGAGGAAGAGGCAGGAAGAAAATGCTGTGTATAAGTAACACATAATTTCTGACTCTTTTCTCTGTGAAGAACCTACAGGTTTTATGTATACCAAACAGCAGAGGCACTACATTTGTCCCATTAAAAAAGTTGACACCACAGACTTCTAGAATCTAGCATCAAGCCCTTGAAGAATAATGTGGAATTAGTTGAAAAGTGAAATACAGACTGTAGTTCATAAACAAGGCAGCAAATCCCTCTAGCTGAGAAAGAAGGTAGAGTATAAAAGAGAATAAACAAATTCTGAATGTGAGCAAATTAGACTGTTTTTACAGAAAGAACAAGAGGCTCTGCTTAAGTAGATAAAATATGAAGAGTTGGACCTTTTAACAAAATTTAATGAAAACCTTATAACTTTTTCAGATTGTTTCCACATTAAACTGTTTACTATAGGAAATAGAGGTCTAGTATGTATGGTCAGACTTGGCATTACTGATGTGTTAAGAATATATACCAATGGTATCAAAACCTAAAATACCCTGAAGTCTCTTCATTCAGATTAAAGAAATGTGGATTTAGATTTTCTCCACAGAATTGTACAGCAATTTCAGATAGATGTGAGTATAGATCTTGACACAATGTATACTCAGCTTATTGTCTCTGAGAATAAAAGGTATGGAAGAATAAAGCAAAATGTCTGTTATAACCAAAGAAGATTTTATCTATGCTCTGCTTCTGGGTTATAAGATATTTACTTTTGGTAGATATTACTGAAAGGTAGAAGTACAAAAGAAACCTCAGTGGATGCTAGGTATGTGTCAAGAATGTTTTCCTAGGAACTGACAGAATAGGTTGTCTAAGTGGGTTGTAGGTAACTGGGAGATATATTGACAGCGGTTATGTTGGGTTTCCCAGCTTCTGCCAGTACTAAGAACCACTAAGACTGGCATTATTATGAACTTTGAATTGAGTGAGGTTTCCTGTTATAATGGAAATGATAGGTCTCTTTTCTATACTTAATTTTTTCAACAAAATCATTCGGCCTTGTTTTTATGGTGGAACAGATTCTGAAACTCTTAAAATCTTGTCAGTGGCTGATGAAAGAGAAAGAACCTGGCAAATTATCTTATTTTAGTTTTTAGGACTACCTTAGCCAAGAAATTAATTCAGAATTATTTCCAGAATCTTTCAAAGTTCTACTACTGAAAACCAGAATAGATTTTTTTTTTATTCCTTATTTTCAGCAACTATTCAAAAACATGATAGTAATACTAATTTCATAGATGTTGTTAGTATCAGTTGTCAAATATTTGGAATTCTAATTTGAATATTTGAGAATTATTTAAATGTCCAATAAAATATTTCTTGAAAATATCAAACATTGGGTAAAACAGATTATAATTAGATTACAGAATTACTATAAAAATGAAACATTTAAAATTCAAGAAGAAAATATAGCAAATATCAATACAGTCCTGGAATAAAGAAAATCTACCTTCATATAAAAACAATGGCAAAAATATCAGCAAATAAGTGAAATACAGACTGTAGTTCATAAAAATGAAAATTTCTGAAACACACAAATACCACAAACCTATAAGGAAGACTTTCACATAATATATTTAAACTTTAGGTAAAGTATCAGGATGTATGATTAGAAATATTTATTTTTATCCAAAACAATAAAATGGTTAATATCTTAAGTTTTTTAAATGGGCACATTAAAAAGACAAACAGAGTGATGATTAAATGTTCAACTTCATGTATAATAAAGGAATGCCAGTTTTTTTAAAAAAAAAAAAAAGAGTAGTAACATCTAGACCAGGGAAGGGGCACAGATAATACTGTCAGTAGAATATGAATGTTGATGGGTAGTTGTTTTTTTAGGGGCAATTTGGTATCAAACGCTATTAAATGTATATAACCTTTGGTGCATTCTCATGTGATTAATCCAAGTGAAATAATTACATGAGTTAATAATTTTCATTTTAACAATGTGAAAAATAGCCAATGCTGGAACTAAAGTAAATATCAAACAGCAGTGAAACTGAATAAAAAATATGGTGTAATTTTACATCATAGTACTATGCCATATGTATACTGTGTTTATTAATGTCACCAATGAGAAAATGTTAATGATAAGTTGTAATCTTAAAAAGATGATGGTATAAGAGTAGTGAATATGTATATGAGGAATAAGAGAATTAAGGGAACATGCATTTTTAGAAGGTCTATGGCATGTCTGAGTATGAAGAAATCAGAGATCAAAGACACTGATGGAGTAACCTGAAAGGCATGCTGCAAGATATCCTAATGCAGGAAAGAAGCTGCATCTCTCCCAGCTACCCACAAAGAACAGAGGAAGGAGGCATTTTGCAGCTATAGCCTGGGGCCAGTAGCTGGGTGGGTAAGGGGAGCAATTCCAGGGAAACTCAAGTTGAGCTGAAAATACAGGCCTGGAAATCCCACACCACATGACATAGAGAGCGCCTATGTCACCAGAAAAAAATCAAATGTGGAGAGGGATTTACATATGGGAAAAACAGGATGAGGAAACCCACAGGGCTCCCCCTTCCCCCATGACTCTGGTGGCTTGCAGGACCAACTGGGACAGAAGCACCCAGATGGGAATTAGAAAGGGCAAAGGCAGAGTTTGGAGAATGAACCCAAGAGAAAAGGGAAATGCAGGGTTGCAAGTGACAGAGGGGAATAAGGATTAGCTCTTCCCCCACATGAGTGGAACCCAGGAAAGATCCCTGGGATGTAGTCTCATGGACCAGCAACTGCTGAGCCTTAGAGGTGCACTGATTTAAAATCTTCAGACCAATCAACATTCAACAAAGAACCAGGAGCCTACCTAAGCCTAACACCACCAACAGCAGCTCTGCCTATAGGATTTCCTCTCAGCTCCAGCAGCCCCACCTGAACAGGGAACAGACATCACATTCCCTTGGACCCCACCTAAAATGTAAAAACCAGCAAAGGAAGGAACTACACTAGGAAAAACCAGAAATAAACTGACAAGGAATAAAAATATTTTTTCAATAACACTGAATGTAAATGGCCAAAATTCATCAATCAAAAGACACAACTGGCAGATTGGATTAAAAAACAACACCCAACAATATGCTATCTCCAAGAGACTCATCTCATAGAAAAAGACATCCAGACACTGAAGTTAAAAGAAGAAGGAAAAATATACCGTCTCATAAATAAGCAGGAGTTTCTATCCTCATAGCAGATCAAGTGGACTTCAAGCCAAAGTTATTCAGAAGGTACAAAGAAGGTCATTTCATATTGCTTAAGAAAACTGTACATCAACAAGATATAAGAATTGTAAATATTTATGCCCCCCAAAATGGAGCATCTGTGAACATCAAACAAACTCTCCTAAATATCAAAAATAAAATAGACCACAACACAATAATACTGGGTGACTTTAACACACCTCTCTCATTGCTGGATGAATCTTCTAAACAAAAACTAAATAAAGAAGCTATGAAGAGAAAGGAAAGCGCTAGGAGCCGCTGCAGTCGCCACCAGCGCAGCCATGCCGCACTCACGTGAGCACCCATCCACCGGCCCCCATCCCATCCGCTGCGTCCTGTTCCAACAATCTGTTAAAATACGGTGGATTACTATTAAATTCTAGGCGTGCAGATACATGCCTCACCCGAGGATATAAAAAAGGCATACCAGAAACTTGAACTAAAGTGGCATCCAGATAAAAATCCTGAGAATAAAGAAGAAGCAGAGAGAAAATTCAAACAAATAGCTGAGGCATATGAGGTGTTATCAGATGCTAAAAACGCGACATCTATGACAAGTATGGCAAAGAAGGCTTAAATGGTGGAGGTGGAGGTGGAAGTCATTTTGACAGTCCATTTGACTTTGGCTTCACATTCCAGAACACAGATGATGTCTTCAGGGACTTTTTTGGTGGAAGGGACCCATTTTCCTTCGACTTCTTTGAAGATCCATTTGAAGACTTTTTTGGGAACCGAAGAGGTCCCCGAGGAAGCAGAAACCGAGGTGCAGGCTCGTTTTTCTCCGCTTTCAGTGGATTTCCAACATTTGGAGGTGGATTTTCTGCATTTGATACAGGATTTACTTCATTTGGGTCACTAGGTCACGGTGGCCTTACTTCATTCTCTTCTACATCATTTGGTGGCAGCGGGATGGGTAACTTCAAATCAATATCAACTTCTACCAAAATAGTAAATGGGAGAAAAATCACTACAAAAAGAATCCTCGAGAATGGTCAAGAAAGAGTAGAAGTTGAAGAAGACCGCCAGTTAAAGTCCTTAACAATAAATGGTAAGGAGCAGCTGCTACGCTTGGATAACAAGTAATTCAACGCACGCATTTAACAGAAATGTTAAACTATAACAAGCACTATTTGAGGATTAACAGGAACATTTTTTTTGAAGATTTCAGATGAACTCGACTTTCAGTATAATTGTACCTAATCTAAAGTATTTATAAACAGCTCATCGGAGCCCCTATTTGTCATAGACTTTTGAGTTTATTGTTGGGACCACACAATAGGACCATTTTTTTTTTTTTTTGTCTTTAAAATTGTTGTAATCTCTGTATGCACTTTGCTTTTTTATTAAACGTAATCCAAGGTGAGCCTTGACTTTGAGTAGTGCTAGGACAAGATTATATTCTAACACCAACATGGATCTGCTTCCCATTGTGTTTGACAAGTGAGCCAAGTAGTGTCAGCCTGCTGTGAGCTAACATTGCCAGGATGAGGCTCCTGTAGAAGTAATTTGATTTTGGTTTTTTTCAGTATTTAGTAATGAAAGATATTAATGCATTAATGGTAATACATTTCTGGTTTAATATAAATTTAAGGATGTTTTCTAGTTGTGCATGAATGCTGGCAACTTAGTAAAGTTTTGACAATTGTTTAAATATGTAATGTTAAGCTTAGGTTTAAAAATCTGGTAAACTGGGTCTTTGTCATTTGCTAAAAGAAAATAAATGTGAATGTGTTTGGTGCATTTTTTCCTGGAAAAAAAAAAGAAGCTATGAAACTAGAAAAACAATTAATAATTTATACTTAACAGACATACATAGAATATTTCATCCATCAGTGACTGAATACAATTTCTTCTCAGCAGCATATATATCCTCTAAAATAGATGCTATCTTAGGCCAAAAAGAAACTCTTAGCATATATTAAAAAAAAAAAAAAACAGAGATAATACTGTGCATTCTGTTAGATCATAATGCAAGGAAATTAGAAATAATAAAATAAATAATAGAAGATAACTCTAATGCTTGTAGACTACATAATACACTATTGAATGACCAACAGATAGTAAATAAATAAGGGGTGAAATTAAAAAAAATACTTAGCGGTAATTGAGAACAGCAACACAATAAAATCTCTGGGACACTAGGAAGATGGTTCCAAGAGAGAAAGTTCATAGCATTAAGCTCATGCATTAAAAAAAATACAAAAATCACCAAATAAATAACCTAATATTTCATCTCAAAGCCCTAAGAGTAGAAAAACAAATGAAACACCAAAAGCAGTAGAAGACAGGAAATAATTAAATTCACATATGAAATCGAAACAGAAAAATAACAATTCAAAAAAATCAACAAAACAAAAAGTTGGTTCTTTGAAAAAAATACATAAAATTGAAAAATGCTTAGCCAAGCTAACCAAGAGAAAGAGGGAAAAACTCAAATTACTAAAATTTGTGATGAAAATCACAGACACTACCAAAATACACATGATAATCAGAAACTATTTTGAAAATTTATACTATAAAAATAGAAGATCTTAAGACATTGACAATTTGCTGAGAGCCATAGCAGAGTAGGAATGCCGCATGGCATTTTTGGTTGAAAGGTGCCGCCAGCAAGCCATTGAGATGATAATGGTTATGTTAAGATATGTATTCAATTGGATATTAGACCCCTGCTATCAGCCTCAGCCTGCTACTTTGGAGCTCTCAAGGACTCCCATTGGTTGGGGGAAGTGCGGTAGGAGGGATTTCCAGAGGACGGATTTCCAGTTGGTGTGGTGTGTCCCGGGAGAAGGCCGCCTGCATGGCGTTCGCGGGAGTTTTGGAAATAAAGTTTGTTCCTGCTTGAGTGGCTCGTGATTTTGTGCCCAGCCAGACTGTGGCAACAATTTCTGAAGAAACATGACCTACCCAAACTGAATCAGGAGAACACAGAAAATTTAAATGAACTGATTTAAAGCAATGAAATCAAAGATGCTATCAAAAGCCTATCAACAAAAAAGCCTAGGATCACATCAAATCTTAGCAGAGTTCTACTAGACATTTAAAAAAAAAAATCCTCCTAGAATTATTCCATAAAATAGAAAAGAAGGGAACCATTATAAACTCATGCTATGAAGCCAATATCACCCCACTGCCAAAACCAGACAAAGACACATCAAAGAAAGAAAACTTCAGAACAATATCCCTAATACACACAGATGCAAAAATTCTTAATAAAATGCTGGAAAATCACATACAAAGACATATTAAAAATATAGTGCACACCTGTAATCCCAGCAGCTCAGGAGGCTGAGACAGAAAGAAGAATCACAAATTCAAAGCCAGCCTCAGCAATGGCAAGGCACTAAGCAACTCAGTGAGACCCTGTCAATAAATAAAGTACAAAACAGGACTGGGAATGTGGCTCAGTAGTCGAGTATCCTTGGTATGCCCCCCCCCAAAAAAAAAAGAAAGTGCACCATGCATGATCAAATGAATTTCATCCCAAGGATACAAGGTTGGTTTGACATTACTGAAATCAATGAATGTATTCACCACATCAATAGATTTAAAGGCAAAAATCATATGACTATCTCAATAGATGCAGAAAAGCAGTGGACAAAATACAGTATCCATTCATGTTCAAAACACTAGGAAAACTAGAGATAAGTGAAACATGCCTCAACATTGTAAAAGCTATACATGTTAAACACAAGGCAAACATAATTCTAAGTTGAGAAAAACTGAAAGCATTTCCCCTAAAAACAAGAACAAGACAGGGATGCCCTCATTCACCACTTCCATTCAACACAGTCCTTGAAATTCTAGCCAGAGCAATTAGGCAAAGGAAAGAAATTAAAGGGATATGAATAGGAAAAAAAAGAGGTCAAACTATCCCTATTTGTTGATTCTATATTTAGAAGAACCAAAAAACTCCAATAGTAAACTTCTAGAACTCATAAATCAATTCAACAATGTAGCAGGATATAAAATTAACACCCACAAACCAACTGCATTCCTCTACACCAATGATGAAGCAGCTGAGAAAGAAATTAGGAAAACTTTCCCATTCATACTAGCCTCAAAAAGAAAATAAAATACTTGCGAATCAATCTAACAAAAGAGGAGAAATCTCTACAATGAAATCAACAGAACACTAAAGAAAGAGATTGAAGACCTAAGAAGATAAAAAACACCTCCCATGTTCTTGGATAGGCAGAACTAATATTGTCAAAATGGCCATACTACCAAAAGCACTACACAGATTCAATGCAGTTCCCGTCAAAATACCAATCATGATCTCAACAGAAAATGAAAAGCAGCCATGAAATTCATTTGCAAACATAATAGGCTCAGAATAGTCAAAGCAATTCTTAGGGAGAAAAACTTAGCAGTTAGCATCATTGTACCAAATGTTAAATTATACTACAGAGCTCTAGAAATAAAAACAGCATGGTATTGACACCAAAACAGACATAAAGACCAATGGAACAGAATAGAAGACACAGAGACAAACCCATATAAACACACTTATCTCACACTAGATAAAGGCACCATAAATATATATTGGAGAAAAGATAGCATCTTCAACAAACAGTGCTGGGGAAAGTGGAAATCCATATGTAGCAGAATGAAATCGAACCCCTGTTTCTCATCCTGCACAAAACTCAACTCAAATGGATCAAGGACTTAGGCATTAGACCAAAGACACTGTGTCTATCAGAAGAAAATGTAGGCCTAACTTTCCATCATGTTTGCTTAGGAATCAGCTTCCTCAACAAGACTCCTAAAGTGCAAGAAGTAAAACCAAGAATCAATAAATGGGATGGTATCAAACTTAAAAGCTTCTTCACAGCAAAGGAAAACAATCATGAAAGTGAACAGAGAGCCTACAGAATGGGTTAAAATCTTTGCCACCTAAATCTCAGAGCATTAATCCCCAGGATACATAAAAAACTCAAAAAACTTAACATGAAAAATATAAATAACTCAATCAATAAATGGGCAAAGGAACTGAACAGACACTTCACAGAAGAAGAAATATAGGGGGAAAAATGTAATAAAAAGAGTTCAATATCAGTAGCAATTAGAAATGGAAATTAAAACTACACTGAGATTTCATCTCACTTCAGTCAGAATGGCAATTATCAAGAATGCAAGTAACAATAAATGTTGGCAAGGATGTCAGGGAGAAGGTACACTCAGACATTGTTGGCAGCAATACAAATTGGTGCAGCCGCTCTGGAAAGCAGTGTGGAGATTCCTTAGAAAACTTGGAATTGAACCACCATTTGACCCAGTTATCCCATCCCATGGTATATATCCAAAGGATTTAAAATCAACAAACAATAGTGAACTGGCCACATAATGTTTATAGTAGCTCAATTCACAGTAGCTAAGCTATGGAACCAACCTAGAAGCCCTACAACAGATGAATGAATAAAGAAAAGGTGGTATATGTACATAATTGAATATTACTTGTGCATAAAAAGAATGATAATGACATTTGCCAGTAAATGGATGAATCTAGAGATTCTCCTGCTAAGTGAAATAATCCATCCCCCAAAACCAAAGGTTAAAAGCTCTCTCTGATATGCAAATGCTAACACTCATCAAGGGGTTAGGGGAAAATAGAAATTCAGTGGATTAACAAAGGGGAATGAAGGGAAGGGATGGAGGATGGAAATAGAAAAGATAGTGGAATGAATCAGACACATCTTCCTGTGTTCATATATACCACCATTGAAACTCCACATTAACAACCACAAGAATGGGATCCTAATTAGAATAAGTAATAATCCATAATTATCATGTCAAAACATATTTTACTGTCATATATATCTAAAAAGAACAAATAAAAAAAGAAAAGAACTACAAAGGGAAGCTTTTACTGATATATAACTTTTCTCCTAATTATTTCAGTTAGGAAATATTACTGTTTTTTTTAATTTTTTAAGATGTTGATAGATGTTTATTTTATTTATTTATATGTGGTGCTGAGAACCAAAACCCAGTCCCTCACACATGCTAGGCAAGCGTTCTACCAGAGCTACAACCCCAGCCCCCAGAAATATTAAACTTAAAAAAAAAAGCTAAGAAGTTAT